TTGGTCGTGCTAGGACTGGCCACAGCGGCACCGGAGCAGCGGCACCGGAGCAGCGGAACCGGAGCAGGCGGACGGCATCCAACCGTGGCGCACGGACAAACATCTCTTGTGTTCTCAATTGTTTTTCCGTTTTTTTCCTGAATACAGGTGTTGGGTGTGTGTGATGACGCATTGGTTTTGTAGAGAGACGCGGCAGAGATGGCGCAGATAACCCGGGTGCTCAATTGTGTACCTGCATCGTGGAAGACCCCTTCAATGTGGAACGATTCCTAGTCAGTGTCGATGTTTACACTGCTGTGCCTAACACAGATGATCTGGATAGATTCGGGTGATTGTCAAATGCAATGATGGCTTTGGTTGGGTGTTCTTCATTGCACGCGGACTCATTCTGACAGCACTTCAGACAGCAGCTGCATGCCCCGAGCTTGTGTACCATGCACCATGGTGTTATTATTGTACAGACAGCACTTCAGACAGCAGTACGCTGTAGTCGACATTCATTTTGGTCAAATGCGGGACAAGGAGGGTGATGCTGCTGCTGTAGTCGATTTGTAGTGTGTGGGCGTGTAGTTCAGTTGTGAGCATGCAAACGGGCTGCAGGGATTGCAGGTGTACCTCCTCCGGCTTGTGTACCCTTTTCTTGCTAATAGTGTGTGTGTTCTTTAGATCTTCTGATGGCTCTAGCATTTTTGTGACCACGGACCGAGTCTTAACTAGATTTTGGGATTAGCAACTGACACGAGTTTAATGTGAAGGAAACAACAACAACNATGCGGGACAAGGAGGGTGATGCTGCTGCTGTAGTCGATTTGTAGTGTGTGGGCGTGTAGTTCAGTTGTGAGCATGCAAACAGGCTGCAGGGATTGCAGGTGTACCTCCTCCGGCTTGTGTACCCTTTTCTTGCTAATAGTGTGTGTGTTCTTTAGATCTTCTGATGGCTCTAGCATTTTTGTGACCACGGACCGAGTCTTAACTAGATTTTGGGATTAGCAACTGACACGAGTTTAATGTGAAGGAAACAACAACAACAAACAACAACTCTCAACCGAGCCCCTGCCCTGTTTTCCTCTGTGTCACTGATAAGCTGCTGCACCAGTTTGGCAGTTTCAGTAGCGATGACTTTTGTATTGCTGTCGGCGATCGCGGAACAGGAAGAACAGTCGGACCGGCGCCGGCACACGATGGAGCACAAGCCCGACAAACCAGCGGACGATGCAGCCACCAACGCTAAGGTTGGCAGCGCTAACACTGAGACCGACACCGACGTCCATAAAGCAACCCAAAGGGCCGGCGCGTTGGCTCTAGGCGGCGAAGGAAAGGGTACGGCTTCGAAGACCACGAGCGCCGGCACCGAGGCCACAAACCCCGGCCCAAGAGCGGCATACGCAGCAATGGCTAGCGGTGTAGCCGCAGTGAGCAGCGGTGCCGCTGGCGGGGATGGGGGGGCTTCAACGGTGGATGAACAAGCCGCTGGTGCTGAACCCTGTGGGAACACGCAGCATGACGACCGGGCAGCGCTCCAGATGTTGTACGAAACGTGAGGGAGAACATGTGGAGGGGTATACTCATAGCCGTGCATGCCGTAGTCGTTAGGGGAGGGGTGTACATTAGCCGTGTATGCCGTGGTCGTTCGACCATTGACCTCGCATCCCCACAAAAGCCGGCACGAAGCGATTTGCAGGGTTTTCGCCAGAGCAGGCAAGCACGTCACCAAGCGCGAAGCGCCGTGAGCTATTCGGCGAATCGCAGAATGACTGACACAGCCAACCCCAAACCGTGACCGCCCAGGGATATAAGGAGTTGGGCCATAGCGTGGCTAAAAGACAGCGCCATATGGTAGGTGTGTGTGTGAGGAGGTTCTCCAGGGTTTAGATGTCACGACCTGCGGACGCGTTCAACAAAGGCAAGGGTAGAAACCACTACAGCACAGGGTTAGCAGAGGCCAGGACAACGTTCAGTGTGATAGCTCGAGGATTCGGACACATCCACCATGATCTCTCCAGCGTGCTGTTTGTTTTCCATGCGATATTATTCCGTGTGTCCCCCGTCCCCCGTCCCCTACATAATAGTTGTGGTGGGGCGTTCTGGCGGATGAAGATCGCGTGGGGCACGGCGGCGCCGATAATGACTTGGTTCGGGATCGGAACCTCTTCCTCTTCGGAAGGGCGTATCTCAAAGCTGTCGCTGCCGTGGAACAAACTCGTCGGTGCGTGGGCGGAGTTGTGAATGGTGGATAAGTTTGCCGTGCCCTTCGGAGTGTACATCAGTGTCAACGTGGGTCACCGACGTGTAGACTCGGGAAGCCGCGGGATATCCATTCGTTGTTTTAAAGTATTCGACAGCGTCGGGGAAATATTAGGTCCTAGTTATGTTGTTCCTCAGCAAGATGAATGTGAGACCCGAACCTTGCCTCCATCCTGACCCCGGCGGAACCTTGGCGATGACGATCGCGGAATGCGACCTAATTTCTTGGCTGCCGACCAACAAACAACCAGTTATTTGGAAAACATCCGGACCCAACCCTCCATATGAAACCCCCATATGAGTGAGAAATTACTGAGTGTAATGTTCAAGGAGTGTACCGCAGGCGGAAACGTGGAGAATCCGTCCGGTGCGACCCCATCTGGTGCGCCAAATGTTGTCCGAAAAGGTGTACATTGGCGCCCAGAACGGAAGGGAGGAAAAAAAATCGGTTTCCGATTGCGAAGAGGACCAAAAAACTTTTTCGTTTATTGCTGGACAAAAACATCCGGCCGTTTCATCGTCCTCAACGCTCTTAGACATTGTTGTCGTGGGCACGTCCGCTGGGAGATTGTCGCTACCGTCTGGTCTCGCCAGGCAAGAAGAGATATTTGCTTTCCGCAGGTCAATCATCCATGGCCCAAACCTAGTCAGTGGGTCGTGTTGTGTGTCAGTCTCGCTTGTTTCGCGTGCCATCCGTTGACTCAGCCCCTAACCTATCGCGCCGACCTTTGTGCATCTACAAGCCGTGGAACCCCAGACTTTACATCCGCACAGCAGTTGTTTTCGTGTCTAAATTTCAGTTTGTGGTGCACTCCGACCTGATCCATCCCCCGACTCATTGATCGTTGCTGCTTCTGTGATTGATTGCTTGATGTTTTGATCCCCAACGTGTAATGACTGTTTGCCTCAGGAAGAATACCTTCCGAGATAGGACCCCTGTCGACCTTGGAACAGCTGGTACTCCACGACAACATGCTCACCGGTACGCGGGGCATGAATATGCAAGTCAACGTACAGCTCTCATGTTGTTGTTATTGTTGTTGTTGTTGTTGTTGTTGTTGTTGTTGTTGTTGTTGTTGTTGTTGTTGTTGTTGTTGTTGTTGTTGTTGTTGTTGTTGTTGTTGTTGTTGTTAGCATCCCCGAGGCAGTTGCACAGTGCTTATAACTGTATCTGGAAGTGAAAGCACCAGAAAATAAATTGAGTCAGACGCAGCTGTCATCCGTACGCAAGGAAGTAAGAAGCACAAGTTGCAGAACACCCTTAGCAGGATGCAGCGCACCCTTCATGCGACTCGCCGAATATCTCACGGCGCTTCGCGCTTGGTGATGTGAGAGGCTGGTGTGGTGAGAACCCGGCGTGCTCCGTCCCTGCTTTGTAGGGATGCGAGGTCAATGGTGTAACGACTACGGGATGCACGACTATGAGTACACCCCTCCCCCAGCCCCCGTTGTAGATCCGAAAAAAGGGAAAATGGGGTTTCATATCGCTGTGGTAACGTGGTGTTTAGACCCGTGTTTGGTTTGTCGTGCATACGGACGCGATGAAGTTTTCTTTTGGGTTCCTTGCTTTTGGTTAGATCGCCCCATCACCCGACCACACGACAGGTAAGGCTCCTTCGACGATAGAGAAACTTGGCCATGGGATCGTATGTACAGTGTTGTTGCGTGCACAGTTTCGGGTTTGACAGCTCCATTCCGCAGACGGTCGTGCTACACGAAAAGAACGATAGAACGACGGAAACTCGGCCTTGTCAAAACCCGTCAACCCTTTTTGTAGCACCGTATTGCAGCGCTTCTCCCGGTGTTGACAATGCCGGGACGGGGCGATGTTACGTTTCACAAGGATGAGAACCAGGCTGGTCATCGATCCAGAAGCTGGTCATCATCCTTGCTTTTGTTGTGCCAAACCAGCACGGGTTTTGTTTTTGCTAGGGTAGGACGTGGTTTTTCTTTGGTGCCCCGCCGATGCGGTGCTGCAAGAGAATACCAGCGACTGCCGTTACAAGGCCAGCAATGAGGGAATACGTTGGCAGTAGAAGATCCTACTGTTCGCGCTGGCTTCGTGGATTCTGGAGCTGTCGGCAAACCTCTAACCCGTGCCTAACCCAGCAAGCTCTCAACCCCAGCCGACTCCGGTTTTTAAAGTGGCCTGCAAGCAATTCTACCCCCGACGCCTTGGGACGTGATGGTTGTTTTCAGCAAGAGTTTCCTCGGTAACGTTGTTTTAGGCGAACAGGTTTTCGCCGGTAATGCCATTTGGCGGTAATTGGTTTGGCGGTAGGCGGTAATGCGTTTTTCGGCGGTAACGACCTTGGCGGAGGCAGTAAAACCAAAAAACGGCGGTAATTTTTTCGGCGGTAACGCCAAACAGCGGTAATTGTTTTGGCGGAAGGCGTTAACGCATTTTCCGGCGGAACGGCTTTGGCGGAGGCGTTAAAACCAACAAACAGTGGTAATTTTCGGCGGTAACGCCATACGGTGGTAATTGATTTGGCGGAAGGCGGTAACGCGTTTTTCGGCGGTAACGACTTTGGCGGAGGCAGTATAACCAAAAAACGGCGGTAAAACGGCGGATTACCGGGACCGTCCACCACGGCGGTAATTTGACGGCGTTAATGAGTGCCATTGCCATATACATGTATGCGGCCACAACTTCAAGCGACCCAATACAAGGCCGCAAGTGCGGTGCCGAGTTACGGCGTCCGAACAGATGGCAACACTCCTTCCGAAGATTGAACGTGTACTTTCATGGATTGTTATCTCGTATTCACCAGTGGCTTTTACATTTTAGAGTCAGCACGACGTGAAAAAACAAAAACATAAAAACGGAAAAACGGAAAAACGAATGTGCAGGCCTACCGATTGCGGAGGAGGGCATCACAGTTGTGGGAGTCCCCATTGGGACGGATGCCTACGTCGAGGATTTCGCAATGAAAGTGATGACTGAAGGGGGTGCAGACAAGCTTGCTCGCTTGCTGGTGCGCATGCCAGACAAACAGGTGGCTCACCTCGTCACATCACAATCGCTGACACAGCGATCCGGATATATCGAGAGAGGCATCAATCATAAGCTAGTAAGAGGGGCTTGTGAACGCCTGGACAATATGGTGATGTGGGTCCTAGAGGCAACGATGGGGCTCAGAGATACCGAAGACGAAGAAGAGTTCTTCCAAGACGACTGCCAGCCTGACCGCTTCAAGTTAAAGCCCTATCAACAAGCCCAGGCACGCCTGTCGACAGGAGCCCGAGGACTAGGATTACCAGCAGCGGTTATGCGAAGGTTCTCAGCTTCTCTGGGCAACCTAGTCGGCACCCTTCCTGCGGTTATAGCCGCGTTACGGGGTCCATTGGGAGAGTCGGTGAGAGTTCGGATACCGGGAACCGTGTTGGTGGAGCGGATGGGGGACGCTATCAAAGAACTCAACCAGGAGCATGGAGTATCGGTGGAGGTTCTGAAGGGGATCCTTCCCCCGTCATGGGTTGAGTGGGCCTTAGAACCGCCAGGAGAAACCGGAAGGCGTCAGCCCACCGTTGCAGAATTGGCAGCACACGATGGGGAATCTACTACGCCGAGGAAAGCCTAGCACGAACTGGGCAAGGCGGTTAACAAGATACAACTTGAAAAGTTCATGGAGTCTCTGGAGCACCTCCCTCAGGAGGCGGTACCACCCACGAGGGANACTTGAAAAGTTCATGGAGTCTCTGGAGCACCTCCCCCAGGAGGCGGTACCACCCACGCGGGACAACCCCTACGGAGGTCAAGAGGCCAGGAACATGGCATACGCACGAACGAGAAGCTCGCAAGGGCAAGGGGGGCACGCGTTCCTGAGAGCGGCTCCCACCGACCGAGCTCGAGAGATTCCATCGAACGAATCCGTCTACGCGACGAGACGCGCCTTGGGAGTTTAAGAATTCTTGGCGGAAAGATGTCCCAGGTGTCACAGAGGCAGGGAAGGCGAGATCATCACAACGGTGCACGCAAGGATCTGTCCAAGGGATGGAGCACCGGTCAACATGCACGAGCCGTTAAAATACGCACTATCGAGAGCACTCAACGGCCTTCGCGTCGAACACGACGTTGAAAGCGGGGCACTGTTCACGGGGGAAAGAACCCTGAGCATGGACATCGTCATCAGGCCAGGAGCCCTCACGAACGCATCTTCTCCGGGGTACCGCAACAAAGGAATACTCCTCGATGTCACACACGCAGACCCGCAAGCACAGGTACACTTGCGGAACGGCAGCGCGACCAGCGATGGAATCGCAGCCCAAGCATCCGAGGCGCGAAAGCGTCAGCACTACGCTCGTCCGGGACACGTGTCCTTTGACGAACGCAGCTTTAAACTTACCACCTTAGCCGTGGAAAGCTTTGGCCGCCTTGGAGAGGAGGGTTACGAGTTCATCGATGAACTTGCGACACATGCCGTGGGAGGAAGGGNGAGCCGTGGAAAGCTTTGGTCGCCTTGGAGGAGGGTTACGAGTTCATCGATGAACTTGCGACACATGCCGTGGGAGGAAGGGACGGAGGAACGATGGCTCTGAAAGGAGGCTTCAAGGAACGACTTCTTCAGATGTTTCGGTGGCTACACAGGTGGCCATATCTCGGCGAGTGCAGAGGTACAAGCTCGCATTGCGCGGGCGTCAAGACGCCGAAAACAGGCGAACAAGATCGACCTCGGACCAGTCAACGCCAATGATATGGGGATGGAGTGTAGACGCATCGTAGAACGCGTTTTCGTTTGAAGTTGGCGTCTTGTTTGAGAGTAGATGTGATAGATTTGCGTAGAATAGGGTAAGATATTATCATGAACGGAGAAGAAAGGGCTTTTCCAACACGGAGATGTAGCATGGATCAAAGCATTTGTTGGATTTCAGCTTTTGCAAGAGGACATCAACGCAGTAGTATTTTAGCAAGCTTACGAACGCATATAGGATACCATGAGGATTGTCATTGGTTTTATTTCAAGTTGAAGAGGAGATATTTTTACGATGTAAGTGACAGTAGAAATAAGTCCTACATATGTTGTTGAACTTCGTATTGGTTTAATATTCATGTAGAGTATGAGACATTAAGTGAAAGTTTTCTGAGGTACATCTGCAATTGTCGGAAGGAAAAAAAAAATCAATCAAACTCCAGAATTAAAGAACAGAAATAAAATCTTTCAAAGTGAAAAAATGTTCGGAAATGAAAACGAGCAAGCCCAAGTGCGGATTCGAACGCCTGACGCTAAGTAATATCACTAGCGTGGCGGCCGAGGCCAGGCTAGACCTCTAGTCACTCGGACTGTCCGTTGGCGGCGACGTACCTTTATGACGTTAATTTTTCGGCGGTAACACCATACGGCGGCAATTTTTTTGGCTGTAGGCGGTAACGTGTTGTTCGGCGGTAGCGGCTTTGGCGGAGGTGGTAAAACAAAAAAACGGCGGTAATTTTTCGGCGGTCACGCCATACGGCGGTAATTTTTTTGGCGGTAGGCGGTAACGCGTTGTTCGGCGGTAGCGGCTTTGGCGGAGGCGGTAAAACAAAAAAACGGCGGTAAGTTTTCGGCGGTCACGCCATACGGCGGTAATTTTTTGGCGGTAGGCGGTAACGCGTTGTTCGGCGGTAGCGGCTTTGGCGGAGGCGGTAAAACAAAAAAACGGCGGTAAGTTTTCGGCGGTCACGCCATACGGCGGTAATTTTTTGGCGGTAGGCGGTAACGCGTTGTTCGGCGGTAGCGGCTTTGGCGGAGGCGGTAAAACCAAAAAACGGCGGTGAAAACGGCGGATTACCGGGACCACCCACCACGGCGGTAATTTGACGGCGGTAATATTACCGAGTAAACCCTTGGTTTTAGCATGTGATTCGGTGTCAAATGCGACCGTGCGAGTTGTCCTAACCGCTGACCGCTGTCTGTTTCTTCCAGGCTGCATCCCTCTGGACATTGGCGTTCTGTCATCATGGCGGGTGGCCCTCTCCAAAGCAATCAGCTCACCGGTGCGTGTGTTAAAAGTATGTTGATGTTGCTTAAATCTGGTTGGTTCAGTACCGTACCGCGGTCCCGAATAGCACGGTTTGGTTCCCGGTATCGTGGTAGAATTTTCTTCGCAGAACAACGTCGCCTACAACAAACTCTTGAATTTCTATTCAGGAACCTTCCCTCTTTGGTGCGGGTCCTCATGTACCGCGGTGATTTTTGCCCGTCACTATACCGCGGTACGGTATGGTATGTCCGGACCAACACTATATGGTTATTGATGGTGGTGTTCGTTGTGAACTGCTGTCGGCGATAACGTTGATGTTGACTATCTTGTCCTGGACCGTTAACATGTGCTTCACAATACAGCAGAGGTCCCTGTTTAGCGCCGGAATGTGCCCAGAAAATGCATCGGCAGTATGTTGCAACGGATCGGCTCTATTCAAGGTGTTGTGAATGACTTGGGGAATTCAGGGCGTACCCGCCTAAAACACCGGCACTGTACCGGCCACCGGCACTACATATTCAACCGGCACTAGACAGGGGCCCCTACTGCAGTAGTTGTTTTTTCGATGCTTCGAAGTCATTTCTTCGGAGCGAACAACCCACCGCCAAGAAGATCGGTACTAGACTTCACTATTTTGTCCTGCGCTGATGAGAACGATGGCGACAACAGTATCACACCGCTGAAGAAAATGATGTTCGATTGTCCTTGTTGCGAAGGTCCGTCGATTTCGGCGTGCCATTTAGCCAGTTGCCCTTGATCAGAGCCGTTTCAACCCCTCCCCCTCTCCTGCTGTCTTATTCTCCCGTGCCAGGAGGCTTTGGCCAGACAGAGTAGAGCTTGCGTACCTCGAGCTCCTGCCATACCGCCCTTCCTTTTGAAAACCCTGACAATTTCGTACTTTCCACGATTGAGTAGTACGAGTTCCTCCTGTGTGTGACCCCCCCGGCTTGTGCGTCAAGCAACCGCATGTCGAGTGGCGTCGATGCGCACGTTGTTTGCAAATTTGTTTTCAGTACCCGATAAACAAGGAGCACCATTCTTTTTTTTTCTTCTCGCTATTGACAGCAAGAGCGGACTGCTTCTGCGTACCACTTTGTTCGACAATATAGGGACTATTCCAGCGTCCATTGGCGAGCTGTCCTCCCTGGAAGAGCTGCAACTCCACGACAACAACTTCTCGGGTGAGAACATGAAAGAGAACATGAAAGAGAACATGAAAGAAAACCGACCCAATCGGATTGTTGCTCTTGCTGCTGCTGCTGCTGCTGCTGCTGCTACTGACACTTCTGATATTGCTACCGCTGTTGCTGTTGTTTTTGTTGTTGGTGGTGGTGGTTGGCGTGTTGCCGTTGTTGTCGTTGATGTCGTTGTTGTCGTTGTTGTTGCTGTGGTCGAGTTCGTAGTCCTCTAGGCAGTCGATCTCCAACGAAGTCGAAGAAGACGACTCTACTACTCTTTTCATGAGCGAACAGCCTTCCTTTTCTACTTGTAGTTGTATATTTAACACTCCAAAACGGCCCAAAAGCTCTATCCCTCTCTCACTCAAGACCGTCTTGTCTTCTTGCCGTCTTAGCGACGCTCTTCCATGTCCCACCCACCCATAAATGTTCCTAGTGAACTCACGGAACCCCGGCTGGTGTCTTGACGAAATCGCCAATAGAAGTTCATCAATAGATTGTCAATGTAAATCTCCGGTGTGCAGATCAGCCACAAAGCAATATCATCGTATTGTAGGCACGTCTTTTGCACCTCTGCCCTGATGGTGAGAACGCCGATGTTCGGTAATACTGTCGTTTATAGCGATATTGCGTTCCCAAAACTGAAAATTAAAAAACACCCAAAACAAGACACCCCCAACACTAAATTAAACAACCATACATCGTGTGTAGTAGGTGATGTCTCTCTTGAACAAAATTGCCTATTGTTTATTTCGACGTCCTGGTTGATGGTGGCAGGTAGAAATCCCTGAAAACGACCGCCTTGTATGGGGCAGCCGCCGTATTCAATGTGTAGAACAACTTGATTATTCTGCATGCCAGCCAACTTCACCCACCGTACATAGGGAGACCGGCTTCTTCAGATCGCCTTATTATTCGGGGACCCCCACTGTACAATCAAAATAGTGTTACTATTACCCTTTGGAGAGGTTTTGGTTGAAAGCGAAAGTCGGTGCCAACAAGGCAGCGGTGCTTTCCCTTGCCACTGTACACGGAAGGAAGCGAAAGACTGAACGACGCTGATCTAATCGAGCTTCTCGCAAGAACGATCCAACAATGCAATGCCTTCGTATATCCTCAGGTTCGATCCCCGCGACCATTGGAAGGCTTTCTTCCTTCAGGGTGCTGGCTCTCTCCCACAACCAGCTCACGGGTAAGCCAGCACCGTCGCTCTCTCTTGCTGTTGTTGTTGTTGGTGGTCTTGGTCTTGGTCTTGTTGTTGATGATGTTGGTGTTATTGTTGCTGTGCTTGTTGTTCATGGTGATGATGTTGTTGACGATGCTGGTATGTTTGCTGTGTTTTGTGGTTGTGGTTGAGGGTCGTCGTTGGTGATGGATGTCACGATCGTCGTTGAGAAGAAGGACGTTGTTGGGGATGTCGTTGTTGAGAATGTCATTGTTGAGAAGGTCGTTGCTGAGAATAATCTTCTGTTGTTCCGCACATGTCCTCGCCTCGCGTTTGTGTGTTGGTACATGAAATCGTAGCTTGGTTGGGCTTGTCGAATCGCAATTACGTCGTTGTTGCTGAATAGAAATTGGTGATCGGCCGTTATGTCGCTGCTCGATCATCTTTTTCGCTGGACGGTAATCTTTTCGAGATTGCATGCATGCTTGCTTGTTGTTCTGATAGGGATGTGCCGTCCATGTTGATGCCGTAGACAATTCGCGGTTGGTTGAAGTTCAGCCCACACTGTACAAAGAACTTAGCTTTTTTATCCTTTACCGGTATGACCTTTGCACGTTAGGGTCAATTTGTTCAATAACATTGTGGGGATTCACATAGTTTATCCAGTGTTGGTTTCCTCAAAGGGGAAGTAACAAGTTAACCGCCACAAGGCTTGCTCGAAACAAGAACGAAGTTTTTTACCGGTGGTCGGTATTGGTGAACGGTGCATGGTTATTGCGTTTGTTCGTTTTGGTCTCTCAACATCAACGCGTATGGCCTCGAGCACTCGGAACATAGTGCGAGTGAGCGAGTCATTTTCTTGATGCCCTCGTTTAAAAATCAATAATTGATAATGGATGTTCTTTATCCGGAGACGGAAGGAGGGTCTCATTCCGACCTCCCAAGGGGACACCGAGATGGTCGTGGTACGCACACACCAGTACACCTCAAGAGACGCCAGAATCCCTCGGAGATTTTGCTGTTCAGCTTCACTTTCTTGTTGCTCTAATCACGCCAATGCTATCATGCGTATCCCCATTCCTAACCTAGCCGCGCCCCGTGCATGTATCGGATTGGATGTATCCCTTGCAGGCGCTATCCCCCCAGAGATCTGCCTCCTGGCGTCGTCACTCGTCGCTCTCGCCCTTGACTGCAACAGGCTCACAGGCGAGAAGCCAGACAAGCGCACGGGTTAATTTTTTTTTTTTTTACTGTCTTCGCTTCGAATCAGCGCTCACTGTTGTGCCGTTAACTCCAACCCGTGGTCACACAGAAGAATTCCACTGGTAAAACAAACGTCTGGAATTGTTGATGTTGGAACATCTACCCCTCTCCGAGGATTGCAAAGAAGGGGACGCGATATCGATAGCATGGGTAGGCTAGGAAAACATTCTTTGAGCCACCCTTGGCAACGTAGAAAGGAACGATTGGTCATCCGTGATTAGTCCTGCGGGAACGATGCTCCGTCCTCTCGAGGACGCGTGGTCAATGATCTGTTGCTTTGTGAAATGGCCATTACTCCAACAGGCGCGCTGCCGGCGGAGATGGGACGGCTGACATCTCTACAAGACCTGAGGCTTCGCAGCAACCGGCTCACCGGTGCGTAGAAATAAAATGCACCAACATCGATGGGAAAACGTTTTTGAGATGTACTCAAAAGTGAGACATTGGTCAAACAACTCAAGCAATGAAAGCAGAACCATCTCTTTTCTTATGGCGTCAACGGATTTATGTGTAGCCGCTGCTGTTGTCGATAGCGTAGTGAGTTGAT